TTTTGACTCAAGTGTGATTTCTTCCCTCAAAGGCAGAGCCCACACCAAGATGGCTCAGAGGAGAAATTTTTCAGAAGTTTAAAATGAAAACAGAACCTCAATTTCATTCCACCAAAAACAAGTCACCCAGTTGACATTTATGTCTTTGACACAGCTCAGAAACCACCCCGGGACTGAAGAGCAGTGTCAACCTGCAACGCAGAGCCTTTGCCGACTTGGATCTTGTTGCCGTCCCGGTTACCCAATCAAGTGTGTTCATCTAGATCGTCTTCTTTAGAAAACCTTTTTTTCTTTTTAAGACTTATTTATGCATACAAGAGCTGGGGTACAGGCCAGAGGTGTGGGGGGTGAGAGGATTCACCAGAGACAGAGTGGGGAGCAGAACAGGCAAACAGATTGAAGGCACTGCCGAGGGGAGCAGTGGGGAGATAGGAGAGATCTGCCGCACCATGTGGGAATCTCCCTGGCTGACCAGGAATCAAACCCATGCTGCAGAGGCTGCGGAGAGCTGCACAGTGCTGTGCTGAACCATCTGTGCCACTGGGAAGACCCTAGATCTTTTTCTTTTCCTTCTCAAAACTCAACCACAAGGAATATCTGTCCAACGTGGGGCAGGCAGGGCACAGCTGCAGCGCCGGCACGTAAACACTGTGGCCCACAATTCACACGCTGGCATTACAACGTGGGTGCAGGATCCCAGGGCAATGGCTCACACCCCCTAAGGGTGGATTCTGACTGGCAGGATGGGGCCAGAATCACCTCAGAAAACAAAGGCAGGAGAGTGAGGCATTAGCATCCTAAGTCAACATGCATGACCTCCCACTTCTGTACTCTGACTAACCATCTTTTCCTTCCTGAGGTTTTTTTTTTTTTTTTAAAGATTTATTTTTTTAATTTATACAAGAACTAGGGTACAGGCCAGAGGTAAGGGGGGTGAGAGGATTTACCAGAGACAGATTGGGGAGCAGAACAGGCAGACGGACTGAAGACACTGCTGAGGAGAGCAGTGGGCGAGGCAGGAGAGGTCTGCCGTGCCATGTGGGAATCTCCCTGGCCAGCTGGGAATTGAACCAGCACTGTAGAGGCTGTGGACAGCTTCACAGAGCACTCAACCCACTGCACCACCGCGGAGGCCCTCCTTTTTGAGATTTTTAGAAAGACAGGAGTGGTAACCAGATGTTTCTGTGGCCAGTGTTAGCTCCCACCTTCCTACTGGCCCACTAACTTTTGGTTGCTTTAGAAAACTGACCTCTCAGGTATGACTACTCCCTGAGAAACCACCTGGAGCATCATAGATGACAGCTTGACCAGGGGACCCTGGGCTAAGCATCCATCCCTGGCCTCCGGAAACTCAGTCACCTCACCGGGCCTGTCCTGTAGCTGACCCTGACCCCTCCCCCACTGTCCGCCACCAGCTGTCTCCAAGAAAAAGCAAAACAAAGGCAGGTGCTGCCTCGACAGGCGAGCAGAGAGGCCGCTGCATGGGGAGGACACGCAGCAAGTGCTGAGGACAAGCTGGCCTCTGTGCCAGATCTGGACGAGGCCTCTGGAAAGGGCAGAACAATAGCGAGGGGCACTTCTCACTGACAGGCTTGGGATTTTGAAGGAATGTGTACTCATCCGCATCGGTGAAATAAACTGTTTGAAATTATAGCCAAAAAGGAAAACTCTGGAAAAACATCAGCTGAATATTAATAGTCTTGACTATGGTGGACGGACTTGAGCGCGAGACCCGGGCCAGGGGCTGTGCTGGGCAGACACCAGGCCCACCTGTCACCTCCCTAAGGCCCCTGGGGTGGCGCAAGCCTCAGTGTTTACCCTCCACACAAAGAAACTGGAAATGAGTGGGACCGCCCCTTATATGCAGCAAAAATGCAAGAGAAAATGTAAACAAAGAATGTTTTATTATTAACTATTGATTTATTCTAACAGTTACAATTAAATGAAAGGAATAAAAAATGTGTTTCAATGTCCTTAATTAAGGACATAATTTTAAGATAATACTAAAATTAACAGCATAAGGGTGTGTGTGGTATGTGTGTGTGATGTGTGGTGTGGCGTGTGTGATGTGTGTGGTGTGTATGATGTGGTGTGGGTGTGTGGTGTGTGATGTGTGTGGGGGTGTGTGTACGGTATGGTGTGCGTGTGGGGTGTGATGTGTGGGGTCTGTGATGTGTGGGGTGTGATGTGTGGGGTGTGTGGTGTGTGGCATGTGCTTGGTGTATGTGGTGCGTGTGATGTGTGATATGTATGGTGCGTGTGGTGTGTGTGGTGTGTGTGGTGTGTGGCATGTGTGTGGTGTATGTGGTATGTGATGTATGTGTGGTATGTGTGGTGTGTGTGATGTGAGTGGTGCATGTGGTGTGTGTGTGGTGTACATGTGGTGTATGTGGTGCAAGTGGTGTGTGCGTTGTGTGGTGTGTATAGGCTACATACCCCCAGCCCAGGTACCCCCTGGAGGAAGCTTCCAGAGAGTCTTGACTTCCATGGAGTGGGGGCCCACGTCTCTCTTCCCACCACTCCCGGCCAAGCATCCTGAGACCCCCAAATTCCACCATTTTGCACTTGGGGATCACAACGTCCCTGTCTGTGAACAACCCCCTCTCCTAGTCCATGCCACCCATATCCACACCGAAGTCAAGGTTCTCACCCCAACCAGGTGCGCTGCATGCCCTCCCCAAAACCTGTTGGTGATGAGAACTTCACAGGAAGCCGGGGGGTGGGGAGGGTCAGGACTTACAATCATTGCAACAGCCCCACCCCCAATCGAATTGTCCCCCCACCCGCTGAATCTGCCCTGGGCTGGCACTACAACCTACAACCTCTTCTCAGTGCTATACTACGCTTGGAAGGTCAGCCCCTCACCACCTGCAGGGCAACCATCCTCACAGACACCCCAAATTCAGCACAATCAGAGAAAGTTGCCCCCACACTCACCTCTCTACTGCACCCCAACCTAATTAGGAACCTGACTCCCCACTCAGTGCCCACGTTGAATCACTCACCAGAGGGTCTGTGAGCCCCCTTCAACCTGCGAGGCCCTTGGCCCTAGTCTCCGACCTCCTCACCATCTGTCCAACAGCCCTCCTGCCCATGGCAGCCCCCCCCTCCGCCCTGTTACAGTAAAGAAACTCTCAAAGTCTTGCACCTCAAGGTGGCCCCAGAACAGCTGGTGGTGGGGGCAGCTCCCGGGGCAGCCCACATTGGAGCCAGCCTCCCACACGCTCCGCAGGGAACTGACCACTGGACCCCGACTCAGGCCACGCTGGCTGCCTCCTCCCACTGCGGCCCTGCAGACATCCGCAGGCTGCACCAGCCCCATGCCCAGGGCCTAGGACAGTACAGCAAAGGCTCCCAACAAATGCCTGTGACACCACTGGTGAGTCAAACTTTGGGGGGCCTCAGAGCCACCTGCCAGGGTCAACTCAGATCCCTGGGGTGGAGGGAGCACAGGTAGGCTTGGCTAGGCGGGAATCTGGTTTCAGGGAGCTCACAGCAATTACATTCCAGGACCCGGCCCCAGCGAGCGGCTGTCCTGCAGCATCTGTCCAGCAGGGGGCGCCCCCCATGGCCTCTAGTCCAGACGCGTGCAGCTTCACACACCCAGCCCTTGCAGGGACCAGACCACAAACGGGCGCAAACATAACTTTCTCACGCGCAGGGAACTCAGACACCCATGTGCTGTGTCAGCTCCACATGAGCTCACCGTGCGCTCAGGGCTCACATCATGGGACACAGCTCAGGGTTTAGGGCGTGGGCCTGGGAAGCAGCAGCGGAGGCATCAGAGTTCAGGGCAGGGCAAGGCCTGAGGATGGTACCCACATGCGTGCTGCTATGCAGCTACCACTTACTGCCTGCTCTGCCAGCGTAAGGCACTGTGGGGCCGCACCAGGTAGACGCTGACTGGCTGGGACCACCGGGACTGCTGGGCGGGAAGGTGCGTCCCCATCGCAGAGACAGGGGAACCCACCGGCACCTGGCGCCCAGTGCCCGCCCTCCCTCTGCATTCTATGCAGAATGGGGATGTGGGCGTGGCCACCCCCTGCTTACACCTGTCACAGGTGCGCCCACGCTGGACTCAGTTCCTCTGGTGGCACGTCTTGTGTGTCTCCATGCTCTGCAACCGGAAAGGCCCTGGGGAGGGTGGAGGGCGCATTGGTGCTCTCTGACTGGCCCGTACCCCACAACTCACCCTCAGGGTCCACGTGGAGAGCTGCTCACACTGTGCGTCGCAGCAAGGAGGCGGAGGGCAGTGGCCTTCGGGAGCATCAGTGGGCTCTGGAGCCCATGGCGTGGCCTGGACGACTGTGGGGGACCCTGAAGCCCTCACAGTGACGGGAGGCATGAGCTGGGGGGACAGACGCGCCAAGCAGGGTCTCCTGCTCCTGTCTGTGCACCTGAGCGTGGAGGTGCTGCGGCCAAAGCAGACCTGGCTCCAGGCGCAGGCACTGAACTGGGGGTGGACATAAAGGTGCTTTCACCAAAGGCCCAGCCTCTGCCTCCTGAAGGGAAGTGTAAGTGGGAGAGGCATCCCTCTCCTCAGGGAACCTTGTGGTGTCGATCCCAAGGCAAAAGTCAGCAGAGATAAAATGACCCTTGAAAATTCCCCACTTGGCCCTCGAGGGTTCCCCCCAACCCCGAAGTCCCTGCTCCCAGCATCACTGCCTCAGCAATGCCTGCCCTGGGAGAACCTGGCACATTGGTCAGGGCCACACCAGACCAAGGCCTGATCTCGTGTGTGAGCCTACACTCACCCCGGAAGAGGCGGTGCAGGCCACAGCAGGTGGGAAGGGCCCTGGGGACAGCGGGGCCCTTCCTGGCTGACTCAACCACAACTGTTTCCTCGTTGGGTGCTTTGGCTCTGGATTTGACTCTGGCAGGAGCCCATAGAACTGAACGTGAATAAATTAGGTGCCCAGCCTGTGACTGGACCGCCTGGGTCACTGCCCGGTGCAGCGCCTCTGCCAAGCCCGCCTGCGGGTGCCCGCCCCGCGGCTCACCTTCATCTCCCGACGCCTCGCTGCTGTAGCCGTCGTACTCAGCAGACAGGGGACTGTACTTGTGCCGTGTCTCCCAGGGGTAGCTCCTCTGCCGCGCGTCTGTGGGAGGCAGCCTGCAGCTGTGTGTCCGGGACAAGGCCTCATGGAACTTGCCCAGGGCTTCGTCATCGCTATCCGAGGATGAGCCCCGCTCGTCCCTGTCCGCGTAGGGGCTGTCTGTTTGCAACGACAAGGACAGCAAATCAAGACTTGCGTGCAGCCAGCGGGCGGTCTGCTGGAGCTTGGGCATGCACATACGCCGCCTGGGCGAACACACACAAACACATGTGAATACACACCCAGACACACACAACCCATGTTTCAGCTTTAGAGAAATACGTTTTTTCACTTAAGAAGCACAAGCTTCAGATTTTTATGTTTCTATAGAGAAGACGGGTTCCCATGTTCTGGTTATAGAAACAGTGACAGTCTGGAGGTCTCCAAACATGGGACAGAGAAGCCAAGACAGGGCCCCTCTTGAGGAATCGGCAACCTGTAAGGAACTCAAAGCATGGCCAGGAATGTAGGCCTGGTCCCATAGTCCGTGCTCAGGAGACCCGGCTGGTGATCATTTGGCCCAAATACCCAACGCGCAGGACGCCTCCTCTGGGGCAGAGCTGGGAAGCAGGCAGGTGAAGCTATGGGGGAGTCGCCATTGCACCACTTTCCTAGAAAGTGACACGGCACTGTCAGGTCTCCCGTCCACACATCTCTGATCGCGTCTGAGAATTCCACCCAAGGACACAAGTATAACTGGGCGAAGATTTGTACTTGGGGTGGGTAGCTGCATTGTGTTTGAGAGCAAAAGAAAATCTAACCACACGCAACCTCAGCAGCCATCACGGTGTCTGAACTAAGCATGATGGGACCTGACAGGGATGTTGATCCCTCAGGCACAGAGAGGCAGGTCCCCAAGTACTCAGGAGCAGCGCCCCAATACGAGCAAGAGCAAGTCAGAGAGAAGAGCAGCCTGAGTCTCACTTTAGTACAGATGTATGTTCTATGGACACACTCGGCACACATGCGTGTGTTACACACACAAACACGTCTGAGAGGATACACACCGAACGTGACCTGTATGACCTGTGAGAGATGGGATCCTAGGAAGTTTTTATAGAAATAGCCCTATATTTCAAGTAAATTTCATCATCTTACTTTCAAAAGCACTAGACTTTCCCATTCTTTTATTTTGAAGTAAAACTCTCATAACTGCCCCATGTTGACATTCATCTACACCAAGGGGCAACTGGAGCACATGGGACTGTGGTGATGGTCATGGGGGAACTGGTGGTGGGAATTCTATGGGGACTACACCTGAGAAGAGAAAGCAAACACTGTAGGGGAAAAAATCAATTAATTCATTAATTTTTTAAAGATTTATTTATTTATACAAGAACTGGGGTACAGGTCAGAGGCACAGGAGGGTGAGAGAATTCACCAGAGGCAGAGCAGGGAGCAGAACAGGCAGATGGACCGAAAGCACTGCTGAGGGGAGCAGCGGGCGAGACAGGAGAGGTCTGCCACGCCATGCGGCTATCTCCCTGGGCCGGCTGGGAATCAAATCCGCACTGCAGAGGCTGTGGACAGCTTCACAGTGCTGCACTCAACCCACTGCACCACCAGGGTCCCAATTAATTCATTAATTAAAAAATCAATCAATCAACCCAGGGGCAAAGTGCTTGCTAAGGAAACTAGAACAGAGTGGGCAGAATTCATTGCCGTGGGCAGGGGCAGCCCTCTCTGGCCCAACGAATCAGGCTTGAGATGTAGTGGGGAGACACCTGGGGGCTGCAGAGCCTGAGCAGGAGGTGGCGGCTTCCAGGTAGAGGCAGGGGCACTTGCGCACCACCTGGCTATGCCCCAGAGCTGAACTCAGCAGAATAAAGACACAAACGGGCGAGGCGAGGAGCTGGCAGCGTCTGCGAGGCCCAGGTGTGTACACCGGCCAGAGGCAACATGCCCCATGGACATGGCCACCAGCCGCACTTCCGGTGCAGTCAAGCATGGGCAGGGCCAGCAGGCAGCAAGCGCCACTCCTCAGCCCCGCGGGCAGGCTCTGGGCTTGGCAGTCAGTCGAGGACCCAGGAATTTTGACCCCCGTGCTTTCAGCACTTTGTGGGTACTGCAGTGGTCAGGGGCAGCAAGGATGCCCAGGAGGGGTAAGCAGAGACTCTGCAGGCATCCCTCACCTGCTGCAAAGCAGGACAGCAGAGTCCTGCACACAGCTCCGGGCAGCTGTCCCTTCCAGCTCTGTGTAAAGATCCAGGACAGGGTCCTCCTGAGGCCACAGTCCAGTCAGCGAGCAGACTGTCTGGAGGCCAACTGACCATCAGGACGTGGGAACACAGACGTTGGGTCCAGCACTGGCCGTGACTTACAGCTCCTGGGAGGGCAGTGCCCAAAGAGGGCACAAGCTTCCTCGGGAAACAAATCAAAACTAAGCTAGAAGCCAGCAGCTCTTGTCAAGTGCTATTCCCACTGCCTCCTTATGTTCTGAGTAAAATAATAGGTCAGTGATCCCACTTCATTTTCTTTTTTGGCCACTTCAAATAACGGAGCTTCCAGAACAAACCAAGGTTATCCAAAAACCTTGCATTGGTATAATGATCAGGTTCAAACCTGAATCTGAGAGTCAAGAAAACTGCTAGAAAAGCAGACTCTACAGTGGACATGTTTCCCAAACTGGCATCCCCTTCACATCAGTGCAGTCTCGGTTCTGCCACTTACAAACCATGCTCATCTCAGAGAAGGTGCCGTCGTGGGTGATGTCATGGAGCAGAGCTGACAGCCTTCCATGTTTCACTGCTTCTCAGTTTATCTCACGAGATTCTAACTGTATAGGAAAGTCCCAGATGTATGTTGTATGAATCCTCAGCAATCAGATCAGCAGTAAAGGGAATGACTTAGGGGTTCCCAGAAGAAACTACTGCCAGTAGGAAGCAATTCTGCCACCCAAACCAAATAACTGTGTAGTAATTGTTTTGAAAATTGTCACAAATTTTGTGGTTGGAAACTATACATTGTCAGTTGGAATCTTCAAGAACTCATGAATAATAATAGATTGTTCGTGAATACAGGACAGGGTAGCAAAGGCTTCCTGACGACTCTGTGGGTACCCATCTTTTTTTTTAAGGTTTATTTATTTATTTATACAAGCACTGGGTACAGTCAGAAGCGCGGGAGGGTGAGAGAACTCAACAGAGCCAGAGCGGAGAGCAGAACAGGCAGGCTGACGAAATACACTGCTGAGGGGAGCAGCGGGCGGCAGGAGAGGTCTGCGCGCCATGTGGGACCCTTGCCCAGCGGCCAGGGATTGAACTGGTGCTGCAGAGGCTGAGGCAGCTTCACAACCCAGCGCTCAACTGCTGCACCAGCGGGGAGGCCCTGTGGGTACCCATCTTGAAGCCTGTTACTCAGGCACGTAAAACCTGCTTCAAGGAAAAACGTTAACGTTTGCTAGAGATTCCTCCCAGGACAGGTCTGAAAGGACTGGGGTCATCAGCTACAAAATAAGAAAATTTAAAATTCAACTTAAATAAACTCCAGCTGAAGTATGGGCCCCTCGTGGTAAAACAAAAGAAGTTGAGAAAAATTAGGTCTGTGAGAAACAACAAGTAATGCGGAGGAGGGGCTGGCACAAAAGGAGGAGAAGGGAGCTTCATGGCTGACTCCAGCAGAAAGACCCCAAGGCCTGAGATCAGAGAGCGACAGGACAGTTTCAAAGCTCTCATGAGGCTTTCCCCACTGGAAAGGTGGAGAGAAAGTTCCAGCACTCACATACGCATTGGGACACCTTACCTTCTCCTTGTCTCATCTTAGAATACTTTCCCATATTACCCTTTGCTGCTCCTTTCTGGGCAGAGGTGGCTTCATTTTTCCCAGCTCTGATGTCTTTTTGCATCCTGCAGTGGTCTGCTGGGCCGACCTGCTGGCTGGTCCCTCCACAGGCCTGCCGGCCAGGGTCCACCAGGGAGGCCCAGAGCACACCCTCGTTCGCGGTCACAGTGGGCCTGCCGCTTGCTGAGACTCCTCTGGCACTCTCGCGCTCCGGACAGGCAGGCTCCAACCCCAGGCTCTGCTGCAGGCAGGGCCTCCCGTGGTGAACCCTGGGACTCAAGTCCTGGCCTGTGGCCAGCACCCGCTGCCTGTCCCCAGCACAGGTGGATGTGCCCTCGCACAGCCCTGGGTGCGGCCTTGGTGAGGCTGAAGAGCTGGATGGACTGGCCGGCTCTGCTCTGTGCTCAGTGCTGGGCCATGGCGCCTGACACTTGGTGCTTCCAGAGGCTTCTGGAGACACAGCATTTCCCAGTGAGGACGCGTCCTGGGCCGCTTCCACCTCGGCACTTCCCTCCTCTGCACGGAGGCCACTCACCACACTGGCCACCTGCCCGGCCACCATGTCACCAAGGGCGCAGCTGGCCTCTCCAACTGCTGAGCTCAGGTCAGCCACGGCGCCGCTAATGGCACCCACCAGGGAGGACACAGAGGGCAGGCTGTGCTGAAAAGTCTTGAAAAATGCCATTTCTGAACTCCGCACCTTTAGAAATGGTGCCTTGGTGGATTTTCTCAAAGCATCAACCACTTCAGAATCTGAATTTAGGGCTGACTTAACCGTCGCTTACCACCAGTTACTCCACACGCGGCTCTGACCTTTCTGTACAGAAGCTGTGTTGGGGGAATGTGTCAGAAATGTCCAGAAAAGAAAATCAAAGCACTTGGGTTAAATGCAAGGCCAGTGTCCCCGCTGTCCCCGCGCCATGGCATCACAGCAGCAACAGGGCAACGTTTTCCCCTCAAACACTACTGGCTTTTTATTCATTCTATACCTGCAAGAGGAAGTGTTAATGGGCTTTCGTTAGGTCTCTGGCTTACTGCAGAGGCTGTGAGCAGGAACACCCCATCTTATGTCCCAACATCACGTCACATTAAGAAAAGTCAAAAGGCGGCTGTGAGCAGTGTGGTGGGCAGGGGGTCCCAGCAGGTGGGAGGGGGCAAAGCAGGTGGCTGCTGGGCTGCCCACCACCGGCTGGGTCTACCCTCCCATTCCACAGGCTCCAGCAGGTGCGATGCTCCTGCTAACTGGTAAAAGGAAACAGCTGAGAAGATCCAGACAGTCCCGCAGCCCTTCCTGTGGCCCTGGGATCCTCAGGTCAAACTACTCTGGTGCCACTGTCAGGGGACACTGACCCTTTGCACATCCATTTGCTCACAGCCCCTGAGGCTGAGCGCAGACATGGATGGGCAATTCCAGCTCTTTCTTTCTTCTAGGATGGTTGTGAGAGGTTCACCAAGAACATAAATCAATGTCACTTTCTCACCAAATTGTTCTTTGCTTTGGGAGATATATAGTTATTTGGTAATTAAAAGTGGCATTTACATGAACATGTGAGAGGCTTTTCATTGATTTTGCAAAGAGAAGTTGACAAGAGACTTTCATGTTCTCAGTGTTCACTGCTGCTAAGTCAACCCCAGCGGCTCTAATTCACGTAACCAAAGCTCTTTGGGGACCTCCTCCTCTTCTGAGAGCATAAAGGGGGTGCTGGACCAAGACCAGCCTGGACACGCTGCTGGACCAGGGGGACGCCAGTGCAAGCAGGACCAGCCTATTGTCCCCTGGCGAGAGCAGGATGGGCGTGAGTAGCGGGCAAGCTCATGGTCAGAGCCAGGTTGGGGCTCCCTGCCGGCCTCTGCTCAAGGGTCGCTGGGGCAGCCCATGGGTGCACTGAGCCGCTGGAGGAAACAACCTGCTCCAGGTGGGCTCCAGAGTGGGCTCTAGAGCGAGAGCGGACAGGCCACGGGAGGTGCCCAGCTGGGGCCACATGGCGATGCGGTCAGTCCTGACAGAGTTCAGGGACAGCGGCCGCCATGCCATTTATCAGCAGTGCTTGGGCACCAGCAGGCGGTCGGCCCTTGTCTACCCATCAGATCTCACCACGTGGTACCAGCAGCCTCCCAACGACGACGTGTTTAAGGACAAAGTGGTAGTGCTGTCAAGCAGTGTGAGTGAAAGAAGGAGCCGGAGCCCATGCGGTACTTACAAAGCTTGTCCTGGGAGCTCTTCCTCGTGCTGAACCCTGAGCCGAGCTCTGGAAACCCGCCGACATTGTCAAAGCAGAACCTCTTGTTGATGTAGAGAAGCAGCAGCAGCAGCAGGACGATGAGCACGCCCACGGCCGACAGGAAGCCCACAGCCTCCGGAGACACTGCGGGGAGACGGGCGTGAGCGCTGGGGCAGCAGCAGGCCCGCTAGAGTAGGTGGTCAGCCTGGCGGGGGTGCAGGCCAACAAGCTACTTGTTCAGTTATTTCGCCAGTGCATGTTCAAATCTTGTCAGGGTTTCCCTGAACGACACCATGACAGCCTTAAAGGACACACATCTACAAAGCGGGCAGTGACCAAAGCTCAGGCCACAGGAGAGGGACTCGGGAGTCAGGAGCTCTTTCCTGGGCGCGGGTGGCGAGAAGGTCCTGTTGCACCGTCCCTGTGAGCCTCCACTGCCCTCTCTGAGCTGCATCAGCCCTGCGCCTTGCCAGCCTCCTGCAGCAGCTCCTCTGCTCCGTCGCCCTCCCTGGACAGCACCGAGTTGGCAGACACCAGGGGCCCCCTTCCCTCGGGCCGGAGCTGCCGCCTCCCTCAGCCACTGCCTGCTCATCCACTCCAGGGGCTGGTGAGGGGGCCCCGCACCACCCTTGCCTTCGCCCTCGAGCCACCCCGACGGGCCGGCAGCATACCAGGCGGGCAGGGCTGCGGCTGCAGGAACACCGGTCCCAAGAGGAGGCGCACAGATTTCCTCCGCACCAGGCCTTCCGTGACGCCATCTTAAGAATCAGTCAGCGTGAGCTCGGTCATCACGGTGGGCACAGAGCTGTCGTGCCACGGAGGGCACAACGGGCACAAGAGTGTGAGGATGCACCATTAGACACGCTGCCCACCGGCTCTGGGCACTGCTCTCCAGCGCACGCCACCCAGGGGGTCGCTCGGGTGAGACGGATGCACCTCCCACTTCCCGGCTGCACCCCTTCCTGCCAGCGCCCTTCAGTCACTTGGGGTCCGGGGCCCTAACCTACATCCCCTCCCTGCCTTACAGATGATGCACGGGTAGTAGCAGGAATGAGCCCCAAGCTTCAGCTGCCCCACCTGCCCCTGCTCTCCCCTCCTCCAGCACCCAAGCACAACTCCCCAAGGCCACAAGGGAGCAGGTCGCTCATCTGCTAGAAGTGAGGTCACCAGGCGGCCCGCGCCTGACTCCATATTATTTGTACAACAGGCCTCTGGGGGCAAGGCTGCATGGTGGGGGCAGCGTGGAGGGGGGCACAGAGGGCATTGCGGGGGAACCAGGGAGGGGCGGGCAGCTCAGCCCATCCTGCCTCTAGAACCAAGAAGTTCAGATGTCAGCTCTGCCCCTCCCACGTTCAGGCTGGGAAACTGCCCAGAAGGAGACTAATATTTTAATAAAGGGACCTAAGACCGGTGACATTAAAACAGCAGTTTGCTTGGGGCTGGAAGGACACCAGACTGAGAACAACTAGCGTCTGGTCGCTGGGGGTGCGGGCGAGCACGGAGCCGGGGATGAAGAGATGGAACACTCAACCTCTGCCTTCTTCAACCTGACGGTGACAGCGGACATGTGTGGGGGGCCCCCAGACTCCATGGGGAGGCCCCGCCCCCAGGCCCAGGTGAAGGAAGTGGGAATCCTGAAGCAAGAACGAGGCCGGGGGGCAACATGCAGCTGGAAAACCCCCGTTTTGGAAGAGGAACTGAGAGAAGACAGAGCTCAACCCCTTGCAAAAGCTGCTCTTTCTAGTCACAACAGTCCGCGTGCAGCCTGCGGGTGTGCGGCTCACATGGCTGGGCGTCTTCACAACTGCCCTGGTACCCCCGCTGTGAACCAGGGGCACTGCTAACTGCGTGGGGGCCCAGCCCCACCTGGCCCCAGAGCCCGATTTGGCCACTGCTCCACCCAACCCCTCTGCCCTGCTCGCTGTTGCCCCAGGAGTAAGAGCGGCCCCCGGCCCCCTCCCTGGACAGAGGCTGGGCCTGGAGCATATATATGGCCGGAGAAGGACCTGGGTGGAGCTGTGGACGCAGGAGTCGGGGAGCAGCACATGGAAGAGTCAGGGAAACACGAGCTCAGCCAAGGGCACACGGGGTTCTGAGAGCCCAAGGGGGCGGGCTGACCATCCACCCTGGACCCTGCCTGCACACCAAGCAGGTGAGAGGGGGAGAGAACCTGTGACAGAGAGGCTGAGGACAGCCCGGGCAGAGGCGACCAGAGACGTGGGCAAGGCCCGACCTGGCAACAGCCACCCCCAGCCCGAGGCCTGTGACAGTGGAACCTGGGGACAGGGAGGGGCGGGGCAGAAGGGAGAGCTGGGGACATACCTGCGAGGGGGCAAAGAACAGCAGACATCCCTGTTCAGGGAAAACTGAGCTGCCCAGTGGACCAGATGGAGAGGAGGGGAAGGAGATGCTAAGGGCACCCTAGGGCTTCTTGCTAGGTGAGCTTTCCGTTGTTGAGCTAGTGACTCAAACCACAAAACAAGAGGGGGTGGACAAGTGGGCCAGGATGGCCAGGCGAGGGACGAGGAGGGTAAGAGGGGGAACGAGGCGGGAGGGAGCTGGCAAAGAGCTCACTGTGGCCACATGTGGAGGCTGCTCACCCAGGTAGCCTCAGTGATGGTCACCACCGGTCACCAGGAGTGCTGGTCAGCACCAGCCAGTAGCTATGGCCACTACTGGTCCCCCAGAGGTGGTGTCAGACACCCAGGGTTAGCAGCGCCGTGTGACTTGTCGGGTTATACCAACAACAAACAGCTCTTTGAGACGCCAGGCCCAGGGCCTTGGGGTTCCTCTCAGGTAATGTCAGAGACAGGACGGAGGCGCCGTCTGTGACCCAGTCCTTGGGCTCCTCTCCCTCCTCGGAGGGCAGCTGCTGGACGCTGCTTTTCTTCTTTCTTCGGAGGCTGGAACCATCTTCTTTTCTTCAGGGGCCGGCATTGTCTCTCCTCCTCCTCCGCGGGCTGGCATCGCCCTTCCTCTGTGTGCTGCTGCGTTGGTCTCTCCTTTCCCTCAGCTCCTGCCAACGCTGGCTTATATCCTCTCTCAGGGTGCTCCGCCCACATGTCTGATTGGACCATTTTTCAGTCCTGTGGCTGACTGGACCATTTACACGTCAGCCTGTAGCACCTGATTGGTCCATTCCACAACCCAGGAAGTGCACTTTACATAAAAGATCTCTGAGGAGCAAGTGCCACAGCTGACTTGTGATGAGAGGTTGGGTTCTGGTAACAAAGGTCTGATTGGACCACTGAGCACCAATCACTTCATAGCTTGCACCTGATTGGTCCATTCCATGATCCAGGAAGTACACTTACATAAAATTTCTCTGAGAAGCAACTGCCACAGCTGACTTTTGGTGATGCCACAGGGTGAAAGAACACCACTGCTCCTGCCAGCTCCCATGGCTGAGACGGCTGGGTTCCGGTAACAGTCTCACATGAGGTGACTTTCCTTTGCCCTAGGGTGGAGCACACCCAAAATCTATTCACTCTAAGTCTGCTTCCACGGCCAGTCTGGATAAGCGCTCCTGCGGCTTCTAACTTACCTATTCATAAAGCCACTCTGTCAAACATTCGAGATCACCCACTGCAGGCAAGTAAATGCCAAATAAACAGGCATGAGACCCCTTCAGAGGAACCTTCTGACTCAACAGCATGCAGCACATTACAGGGGAGTTCTGTGCACATTTGAAGACTTTAATTTGCTGACTGACATTTGAGTTAGCCATAACACAAAGTGCTCTAATGCACTGTTTTCCCATAAACCACATTTATAAAAATTTAGTGTGGTGGGTAATAAAACTGAAGTCAGCTAGTAACAAGAGCAACAGCACCCAAGACTGAGGGCAGTCTCCTTATTTGCGGGGGGCATGTTAAGTGCCTTATGAGCTTCATCTAATGGACCCTCAACAGGCCTGACTTCACAGCTATGGGTATTGAGACTGAGGAGGAGGAAGTCAAATTTTCAAGATCTAAAACAATTATTGGGGGGTAGAATCTCTGTTTCAAGGCAGGCACGCTGACTTTTGCTCCTCCCAATGTTAAAACCCAGCCCGAAGGCACCCTGTGGGGCTCTGGGTCACCTCCTCCATGCTTGAGACAGGGGAGAGCATGACTCATTGGCCTTAGAATGGTGGCTGAGCCCCATGCTGGGCACCTCACTCTCTCGGGACAGGCCGTGTGTGGTAGGGCTCAGAGCCTGGCTGGAGGCCATGACCGCAGCACCACGGCCCAGACACCAGCTTTCTAAGTAGCAGGGAGCCACAAGGCCCAGCGGGGATTGGGGGGTTGTATGTCAGGTGAAGGCACTGGAGGCTCAGGTGTCAGAGACACTAAAGCAGTGACTGACTTCAGGCTCCCCAAAGTACAAACATAAACAAGAGACCTGGAAGCCTCATCTCTTGTACACAAGAGACATTTCAGAATGTTCTGAAATTAATTTTAAAACTATGCTGAGGCACCAAGATGCGTAGTAAGTCATCATATGCCATGTTTGAAAAGTTAATAAACTGAATAACAGATTTAAAACTCTGTATCCCATTGAACAGCATGCTGGCTATTCCTTAGTAAAGCCTAACAGAGATAGGCCCAGGCCTCTGCAGGCTAAATGACCCCCATGTGAAGTGTCTGCAGCCCACCCAGCCGAGCAGGGGTCATGAGCACCGCCTGGCACCAGGACACACAGCAAGTGTAGGTCCTTCTGTGCGCACTGAGCAGGACTCCTGGGCCTCACTGCAGACTTAGGAATAAACACGTTACCTGTGCATAGAAGATATATTTTATGAAAGATAAGTTTGTTTTCTAAACAACACTTCTGTCCAGATTCATGCTTCAGTAACAGTAAAATGGTGGTGAGACCCATTTTAATTTCTACAGATAAATGAATCATGGGAAAATGATAATCATAATCTTATAAAGTGAAAGCAAGAACAAGTCCGTTTTGATTCTGAAAGCATTAAAGTAGTCATTTAAATTCTACTCCCCATTCCACTATAAAAGAACATTTTCTATGGAAAGCTGGGGTGTACATAAGAATTAGGGGGATGCAGATTTATTAAGCCAACATACTTTCCAGTATTAACTTACCTGTACGATACTCTTCCCTAAATAAATGCATTTGTATTAAATTCATTATAGTTCCTAGAA